CCCCCCCCCCCCTGCCCCCCCGCCCCCTCCGGACCAGTCACCACACATTTTCTTTTATTTCTACCGATTGTTATTATTACGTTTCCCGTGAGTTAACCTTGATGAGGTCGTGTTGGTATCATAGGCCAGCCGCCGTCTCGTAGGCTGGACGGCTTGTCATCTTATTCTGTTCACGGTCAAGAGTCGATAGACGTAGCCAACAGGGGGGGCACTGCTTCCTGCCCTTTCCGCGATCTTAGGCTGCCACGACCCCAATGCGTGATACGTAGCTCGATCTGCTGTAGACTCTGCGAGCCATGTGTGTGTGCATAGCACAGGTTGTGTGCAAGGTGTGTGCATGCTGTATGTCCGTTCCACGCAGGCGTGATCCAAGGCGTGTGGACATTCGTAGATACGAGAGCGTGGCGTGCCACCGGACACGAGGCTGACTGCTTAGATCGTCGACCGCTGCGGTGTGGCGGGGACTTTGGTGTTTTGTGTAGCGGAATGTCATCTCGGGGCGTGTGAAGCAGTAATCTACCTGTTTGTGCGAATGTGTTCATGTGAAGCAGAGGGTCATCAACGGCGATGCGGCTCGCTTGTTTTTATCGTCCTCTATTTCCACCATAGGTTGGTGTCAGATGAGTGATGGGTGTGGGTTTAGGGTGAAGGGACAACCGCATATACTCCGTTTAAGTAGTTTCTTGGTTTTTCAGCGTACCTGGTGTGTGTTCCGTCGTGCATCCGGTACGCCAGGGTATATTTATGGCGTGCTTTTCTTTTCAGCTTTGCCCGTTGTAGTGAGGAGAAGCAGCACCCACCTTGCTGAGTAGATCCTGAGTATGTTTCATATCCCTGTTGTGCTTGCTTGCCGGTAGCGGATAATCTTCGGAGGTAGGGTAGCATGTTCCTAGCACGATCGATTCAGCAGTATATATTGAGGGTAGGCCTGAGGTTGTTTTTTGGTTCCAGGTGTGGTAGGTGCTTATTTTGTTTACTCGACGTGCGTGTGATGATGGGTTTTGCATCGAGCGGCGGTCCGATCCTTTGCCACACGGCAAAATCTCGGCAGAGTCGGCGGTACAAAACCGGCAAGATGAACGAGAGAGAAGATGTAAGGCTCAGCGACGGTTGAAATTCACTGTCCGCGAAAGAAGGGTGGAAGGCGCCACTACGCCAGCGTGTAGTTTGTTTGTGACCCTTGTGTGTTTGGTCGCCAATGGCGCGAAATGGGCCACGCGCACGTGGCCGTTGCAGGTGAAGCACGATGAAGTTAATCCGTCGAGAAAGGAAATGCGTGTGGAATCGAGAGGGCGTTGGACAAACATTAAATGGAAAGATGACAGAAAAAGTACCTGAACGACGAAGACGGAACTAATATGACAGGGTTTCGCAATAGTTACAGCTGAGCGGATGGACTTCGCATGTTGTCTCTCCCGTCTCTAAACACTGTTATCGCTAGCTGTGGTGGTTGTTTGTCACTGTGTACATGAATCTACCTGCTAGTTGCGGTTGTTTTCCATTCTGAATTTAGATAAGGACCAAGGAAACAAGTGCCTAGTTCAAGAACCCCCCCCCCCACCCCCCCCTCCCCGGGTGTTTGCCATCGGGGTTGGGTTTTCGTCGCTTGGCAACGACGCTGTAAAAAATGCCAAGTCACTTCGTGAACTCGGCAACCAGGTTACCGTTTTTTTTGTACCTCTGTTTTTTTTTTGGCGGTAACCACGAATGGTGGTCGAGTATATCATGTTGTGCGGTGTGGAGAACCCTCACTCCGCGCAAGGGGGGTGATCGCACCACGTTGTGTTGAAATGGTCAAGCACCCTCGAGGCAGTTACACAGTGCTTACAACTGTCTCAGGAGGTGAAAGCACCAGAAAACAAATTAAGTCATACGTATCTGTCATCCGTACGCAAGGAAGTAGGCACAAGCTGCCGAANACCAGGTTACCGTTTTTTTTGTACCTCTGTTTTTTTTTTGGCGGTAACCACGAATGGTGGTCGAGTATATCATGTTGTGCGGTGTGGAGAACCCTCACTCCGCGCAAGGGGGGTGATCGCACCACGTTGTGTTGAAATGGTCAAGCACCCTCGAGGCAGTTACACAGTGCTTACAACTGTCTCAGGAGGTGAAAGCACCAGAAAACAAATTAAGTCATACGTATCTGTCATCCGTACGCAAGGAAGTAGGCACAAGCTGCCGAACACCCTTAGCAGGATGCAGCGCAGCCTTCATGCACACTCGCCGAATACCTCACGGCGCTTCGCGCTTGGTGATGTGAGAGCCTGGTCCGGTGAGAACCCGGCGTGCTCCGTCCCGGCTTTGTAGGGATGCGAGGTCAATGGTCTAACGACTACGGCATGCACGACTATGAGTACACCCCCCCCCCCCCGGTGTTTGCCTATCGGGATTGGGTTTTCGTCGCTTGGCAACGACGTTGTCAAACAAGCCAATTCACTTCGTGAACTCGGCAACCAGGTTACCGTTTTTTTTTTTTTCCTCCGTTTATTTTTTTTGGGCGGTAACCATAATGATGGTTGAGTAGATCATGTTGTGCGGGGTGAACCCTCACTCCGCGCAAGGGGGATGATCGCACCACGTTGTGTTAAAATGGTCAAGCACCCTCGAGGCAGTTACACAGTGCTTACAACTGTCTCTGGAAGTGAAAGCACCAGAAAATAAATTAATTCATACGCAGCTGTCATCCGTACGCAAGGAAGTAAGCACAAGATGCCGAACACCCTTAGCAGGATGCAGCGCACCCTTCATGCGACTCGCCGAATATCTCACGGCGCTTCGCGCTTGGTGATGTGAGAGCCTGGTCCGGTGAGAACCCGGCGTGCTCCGTCCCGGCTTTGTAGGGATGCGAGGTCAATGGTCTAACGACTACGGCATGCACGACTATGAGTACACCCCCCCTCTCTCTTCCTTGTCTCGCGGTGGGACGAAAATAAGTGAAACGTGCGTCTTCTCAGACGAGGTCGGCAGACGATCAAATTCCCAGTCAGTCCGTTTCCGGTACCGGGGGGCGAGCGCGCGTGGAATGTGTACGTGCGTGGAGGTAGGAAGTTCGAGTTTTTGTTACGCTACCAAGCAGTGAATATAGACTAATTCTCGTAGTTTTTACTCCTTCAGTTCCAACGATTGTCCCGCCGATTTTAGTTGACCGGCCATAACTTCATCAATATTAACTTTTTTCATTTTATTTTTTTTTAGTGTTGATCTCCGTCGCAAATGCCACAAGAGTTGTTCGGGGACCAAATCGATTTGAGACGTTCCTGAGAATTCGTGGTTCTCATATAGGTTTTTCCAGGCGTTTTTTGGGAGGAGGGGATGAAACGTTTCGGCCAGTATCTCGCCAAACGCTGTCATAATCATGTCGTTTTTTTTTGTTCTTGATTGCTAACGGCGGGGTTTGACCAGACGAACACGATGGCGCCCTAAAAAAATAAATACAAAGACTTTATTACTATATATACCCGTTTAAAGAGGGGCACAAGATATTGTACCTTCCTTTTCCGGTCGCAAAACTAGGTGGCAACGCGTGATGTTTGGTTGTTTTAGCTTCATCGTCGGGAAACCTCGCTATTTACACTCGTCTACTTTCACAATCGTACACAATACACGTTAGTCTACAGTATGTACATACATACAGTACAGTATGTACATACATACAGTAGTACATCACGCTCAATACCGATCTCATTGACCGGGAAACGCAGCCGGTCTGGGCGAAAAAAAAAACACAACGAACTCCCTGGAAAAAATGGCACCGACCGAAGCCAAACTCGAGGTCGTTCTTCCGAACCCCGTACATACGTACCGCCGCGATCATAGCATACACTACTTGGGGTTAATGTACTCGGATGGAGCTGGCTTACGGTGCGACTTGCATTTCTCTTGCGCCTCTACCGCCTCGGCGCCCGTAAGCCCGGCGTCGTACACCGCGTGGAAGTTGGCCACCTTCCTGCAGAACTTNGTCCAGTAGCCCTCCTTGTTCTTGCCGTACTCGAACTTGTAGTACGTCGAGAACTTGCGGTCGTCGCCCTCGCCCTCGAAGTAGAGCATGTTGATGTCGCGGTACTTTTCCGGCCTGGTGTGATCACCTGCTGCGTGCTTTTCCTCCGAAATGCGGCAGCGCTCGCGCCGCAGATCTTGGGCCTTGTCGATGTCGTCTTGAGTGCCCTCGACGAATCCGACGTCGCCCACGATGGTGCCGGAAATCATGATGCCCTGTCCTTCTCCCTTCTTTTTCAGCCCGTGCATCATCGGCGGCCACCACGCCTTGCTCTCCCCGTCGTGGGCCCTGTAGATGCACTCGTCCTGGTAGCAAAATATCGCTCTTCTGCCATCGGCGTACTTTTTCTTGCTGGTGACCCTCGCTCGTAGATCCGGATGGAACTCGGAGAGGGTTTCTGCGAAGGCATGCACGCAAACCCAAACACGCCCGTCCTCCTTCATGTCCCTCGGCTGCGTTTCCACCTCCCAGGATCGAACTTCCTCCATGCTCGCGTCGATCCAGATCTCCGTGTAGTCGCGATGCTCGAAGTAAGCGGGGAGATACGTCTCGACCCGGTACTTCAGCACGTCTTCACGGTCATGACCGTCGAAGTACAGGCCCGACTGCATGTCGCGGTAGGAGCATCCCAGCTTGTGAAGCCAGGACCGCGCTGTGCTCTCGGTGATCGCGTACGACACGACTTCACCCTTGGCGTTCTTGATCTTCGTCACGGGCGCGTGCTTGAAGGGGTCGTACCCGTTTGCCTTGGTCGCAGCGATCTCCGGCAAAATAACCTTGTTGATGTAGTCGCAGAACGTCTGAGCGGTCATGTTCGGCTCCCCGTTCTTGACGGCGTTGTTGCGGATGTAGAAGCGGATCACAGCGAGAAGCCCCTCGTCCAAGCTCAGGATCCAACGTCGCGCGTGTCTCCCCGTCTGGTCCAACTTTAAAAACATACATGCACATCAAGAGGACCGGGAGAACGACAACATAAAAAGAAAACGAGCGAAGAGAGAGCCAGGGTCGTGTTAAAACTGTTGTGTACATACTGCTGTGTGTGTGGAGGTGTGTAGCTGCCGAGCGCTCGTGAACATATGTACACTACAGCAGTACTATTGTAAGTGCCGATCCCCACATTTTTGTACGTTGCCTACAGTACTGCTGCATGACGCATTTGAGTTAAGTAGAAAGGAGACATTGCACTCACCACGATACGGCCCTTGGTTCGGTACTCGAGCTCCCACTGCTTGATGGTGCCCACTGACACCTGGAGAAACTCTGCGGACTCCTCGAAGGCTTGTCGCTTCGACACCCCCTTGAGCAGCTTGCTGTACACCCCTCTCAGGGCGTGGGCCTTGGTGAGCAGTTTCCCAGCTTGCGCGTGCGAAACATCAATGGGCTCCTGCGGCGGCAAGGGTAAATCACGGTGATGGGATCAGAGGGTGCTTGGTGTTTGCAGCTCGGTTACACCGCCCACATGAATGTACACAAACACACGCGTGCGTTTCAGATCTGGAGAGAGAACATGTGGCGTGCAGCGTAAGCAAACAGTAAGACAGCACACCTGCAGTAGCATGTTTCGTCTCACAAGGATCCAACAGCGATACTGTACAGCGCAACAGAGGCAATTGCATGACGCTTGCACACATGCATGTTTCAGATTTTGAGCACGCTTGCAGCAGCNTTTTTTTTCGGGGCCTGCCCCAAAAGGTTCGGAAATGGAACCAACGCCATAAAATAGAACAGAAAGAGAGCTTCAATTATCTGCAATTTTTTTCGGTCGCAACCCCGTGGTTGTCGAGATATGGAGGATTTGGTGGGATGAAGTACCTTAGGTGGCGATGGTAATAGGCCCATAACTTTTGATCCAGAGCGTTGCGACCCATTTTGAAAGGCTTTTTCGAACGCCGCTGGCGAGAGCTTTCCAACGCATATTTGCTTGTCGGTCAAAATTTTGGGGCACGTGTTTATTTTTATTGTCCCGCCCCAAAACTGTCAGACAATCGTTGGAACTGTTGCCTTGTGCTCACAAGCACGTGCGTGCGATGTTGGTTCTGCACGGGACTTGTTTCAGGAAAAGAAAGACCGCACGTCAGTCACTAAGGCGTCGTCGTTGTTGAAGCTTTTTGTTTTCATGCCGAGAGCAGAACGCGGGCTGTGCATACGAGGCAGGATCGAGCAATGTGCATGGGAGGGACAATATTTTGCTCTCTCCCCCCCTGCCATCGTGTTGCCATCGGGGTTGGGTTTTCGTCGCTTGGCAACGACGTTGTAAAACAAGCCAATTCACTTCGTGAACTCGGCAACCAGGTTACCGTTTTTTTTTTTTTACCCCCGTTTTTTTTTTTGGCGGTAACCATAATGGTGGTCGAGTAGATCATGTTGTGCGGGGTGGAGAACCCTCACTCCGCGCAAGGGGGATGATCGCACCACGTTGTGTTGAAATGGCCAAGCACCCTCGAGGCAGTTACACGGTGCTTACAACTGTCTCTCGAAGTAAAAGCACGAGAAAGAAAATTTTGTCACACGCAGCTGTCATCCGTACGCAAGGAAGCAAGCACAAGATGCCGAAAACTCTTAGCAGGATGCAGCGCACCCTTCATGCGACTCGCCGAATATCTCACGGCGCTTCGCGCTTGGTGATGTGAGAGCCTGGTCCGGTGAGAACCCGGCGTGCTCCGTCCCGGCTTTGTGGGGATGCGAGGTCAATGGTCTAACGACTACGGCATGCACGACTATGAGTACCCCCCCCCCCCCTGATGAGCAAAAAAGTCCGGAACGGAGTTAAAGTAGGGGACACACACGGAAACGTCGGTTTCAGGAATTAATGCTGTTTGCGCATGATTTTGTCGGTATGTCGGACACCCCTGAGGGACTGCAACTGCAAATTGACGCGGCGAAGAAGTTTACTGATTGGTGGAGATTGTCTGCCAACGTCAAGAAGAGTGCCGTCATGGTATGCAACGAGAACAAGGAGGAACCACCAGTAGAACATAGATGGAAGTGGGGGATCGAGGAGATTGCAGTAGTGGACCATTAGACGTACCTCGGAGTAGAGATCGCAAAAGACTGCTCGTGGAATGCACACATGTCCAAGGTAGCGGAAAAGGGCAAAACACGAGCAGGGAAACTGCACCCAATACTCGCAAACCTGCACCTCGATACACACACGCATCAAATTTAAGGTTGTGAAGAGCGTTATCGTAACGCCGCCAGAGTACGCCGGAGAAATATGGGAAGGAAATAAGAAGAGTGAAAGAACTCGAGGCGGCGCACATGAAAGCAGCGAAAACCGTCCTATTTACGGTGGTACATAGTTAGTGGGAGCAATTTTTGGAGTTTTTTGGCGACAGTATTTTTTTCTCTCAAGCAGTGTGAAAAAATATTCTTGGACAGCTGGAAACAAGCACTACTGCCCAGAGGCGTTATACGCAATCTACAGCACGGTTAGCAGACCCACCACACATCAAATGAAACACGGAAACCACAGCTTTCAAATGAGCCGGGCCTTGCTCTCATCAGACAACTATAAGGTACAGCAGTTGCCGGCCAATATAGGGTACTTTTTCACTACATGTACTTTTTTGTGCGGGCCTGCAAAAAAAAACAGGACGGATGCGAATTAGCCATGCATGTAGAACTTTTTGGAAACCCTATGATTTCGCGCACGCGCACATCAGACCAGCGTTGGACACAACGCAGCCGTTGTCGAGTACTGCACGCTCAAAGAGGGGCCTCTCAGCTATTGGCCGATGGCGAAGCCGAAGGGCAGGAGGCAGCCAACTGGTGGTGTAGTTGGACGCCCTTCCAAGTCGGACAAGAGAGCCAAGACAGCAGCAGCGAGAGGTGCGTTGGCCCAGGAGAGACTCCAAGCTGAGCTCGAGCAGCAACGTGCAGCGCTCGCGGCGGACAGAGCAGAGATGGCGCAGAGGGAGCAAGCGCTCAGAGCGAAGGAGGCTGCGTTCGCCAAGAAGGAGCAAGAAATGGCGCGCGCCGCTGCACAGCGGGAAAAGCGTGAGCAGCAGGAGGTTGAGCGCGTCCAAGCAGCAGCTGCTGCTGCGGCGGAGAAGGTTGCTCAGGGCCTGGACTACATGGACACATCTGTGCACGAGGTGAAGCCGAAGAAGGGCGAGGTCTGGACCCAGTTGCAGTCAAGGATGGTCCTCATGCTACTCTTCGACCTCCGCAAGGAAGGTTGCTCTGAGAAGGAGGCGGTGTTGAAGGTCAGTACACAGCAGTGAAGGTCGGATGGTGTGGCACAGCAGCAGGCCGATGTCTTTTTTAAATATTCATCTTGATCAAAGAGGGGTAACGGTTGGTTTTTGAATCTATACTCCGGAATATGTGTTGTACACCCTATTTTTGCTGCCAACAGCAATACGTTCATGTGTGGTGTGTGTGTTTTCGTTGCATTTATGTCGGGCGCGAGCCTTTGCCGTTCGTTACACGGTTGACTCACCTGTCTACGTCACACAAATATTCAGCAGGAATACATTGTACTGTTGTACAGCAGTTCTTTACAGCAGTACTTTACAGCACCTGAGCAGGCTTGCATGTGCGATGTCTCTCTGTGCAATGTCCAAGTGAACTGACCTTATTCATAAACGATGTTGCAATATTTTCTCTTCTCTGGACCTCTCTATGCTGGCAGGTTGCGCGCACTTTCAAGATCGGCCACGACAAGGTCAGACGCATCAACAACCACTGGTGGGATCACCGCCAGTTGTACGAGACCACCGCCGTGGGGAGAGGCAAGACGGCAAAGAAGGATGATGGGCGACGCCGCCTCACCGAAGTACAAGAAGATCAACTTCGCGAGTTCATCAATGACGAGCACAAGGCCGGTCGTCAAGTCTTTCGCCGCACGGTGGCAGAATGGATGCACAGGACTTGCAACATGGAGCAGCCGTCCAACCGTTCGGCAGGAGGGCTGCTGAGTAGGCTCGGCTACAAGCGTCGTAGAGGCAGGATCAAAACGCCACCGTTAAACGCCGAAAGACTTGCTCGCATTCGTCGGTTTCTTGTTGAGATGGACATGGCAAAGAGGGCAGAGGATGCTGGGTTAGCAGTGATCGTGTACATGGATGAGAGTTTTGTCCACCAGGCTCATGGTTCCCCCTATTCTTACTTTCCTTCGGACGAGGATGGAGTTGTGCAGGATGGGATTGGTCGCACAACGGGGAAGGGCTTGCGCATGATCATGGTGCATGCAATCACGAAGTGGGGGCCGTTGGCTAAGCTTTGTGATGGGTTACCGATCGAAGAGGGCTGGTTCAAGGAAACGGGTAGCGGCAAGAAGGAAATGGAAGATGAGGAGACAGCAGAGTTTCTGTGGCAGGCTAAGTTGGCAAAGGGCGATTACCACGCAGCAATGACCGACTCGATGTTCATGGAGTGGCTTGAACACCGCCTTAGCCCTGCGTACAACGCGATCCCGGAGTTCAAAGGCAAACGGATGATTCTTGTTCTTGACAACGCCTCATACCACCATGGATTTGACGCGGAAGTCAAAGTGCCGGAATCCAACACCAAGAAGCACAACGTCGATCTGTTGCGTATGTTTGGGGCCAAGTCGATCAGGGTTAGGCGTAAGGAGGGCGAACAGGGCGTTGTTGAGTACAACTTAGAGGTACCGACAGAGCCTGGTTCTTCATTCCCTGCAGGGAACAGGGAGGGCGGTGTAAGCAGAGCGGAGGTAGCAACGGCCACTCGGGAGTACATCCACCTCAATCACCCTGAAAGGCTCGAGGAACGGGTGGTGACGTTCATGAGGAAAAAGGGGTGGGCGTTGATTTGGACGCCGCCCTACATGCCGTCCTTTCAACCGATCGAGCTTTTTTGGCAGCATGGTAAGCAGTACGTCAGCCTTAAGTTTGAGTTGAAGCGAAAGATGCGGGAGGTGTGGGTGCAGATTCGTAAAGGTTGGTACGGGGACAAGGCATGGCCAGGCCAGGAGGGGGGGTGGAAGGCAGCCAATTGTTCGAAGCTGGTTGACCACGCCATTGGAGAGATGAATAAGTGGGTCAAGGACCGTGATGAAGTGGGGATACCAATGTTGGCCGCATGATGCTGGGCATTTTTTCCGATTTTGAATCTCTGCTCAGGTACACGACAAGCCATAACTCAAGCAATTTGAATTTTTTTTTATGTTGTTTTTTCATCGTGACCGCCTTTTCCCTGTCGTCAATTTGCGCTATCGTCTGCTGTGCTGCGCATCGTATTGCGAAAGTTACACTCCGAAACGCATATCTTTTAAATTGCTCCTATTAACTATGTGCCACCGTAATAGGATGCTCCAAGCGCACAAGTAATGCAGCGGTCAGGGCAGAATTGGGGATCCAATCCCTACGGTCGGGA